ATCTTATCGTCTCGGCCACCCAGAAAGACTGTCTGAGCATGTTGGCACTAGATACATAATCAGTCGCTCTCGCACGTCAAAGCTTTCACCGGTTTATTTAGGAAATATGTCGCCTGGAGCGTAAACAAGTTGGAACACCATCGATTTCGATCGTCCCTTTCCATCAAATTATATAAGAAGGCTCATTTATGCGCGCAACCGAATAATGGAAGAGGCGGACTTCTTGAGCGCACGTGGACCGATCGAAGGTCTTCTCGGAAAGAAAAGATCGATTGAACAGCGAATTATACATACGATCGGCATAACTTCGAAAAAAAAAGCCTTCGGAATTTATTTCGTTTGCCGTACGATCGATTCAAGGGAAAAAGGAGAACAATTAATCGAGATCTGGATAACCTGTTGACCAGAGAAGAAGCCAGTTCCCCAATTTTAAGTCTCACGATGTCACTCAGGGATCAATTTGAAATTACAAAACTAGACAATTTGGTTGAGAACCTTCGTACGCTAAGAATTAGCTTCTAATTGATTGTAGAAAGCGATCAACAAGTTAATTCGATGGCGCGTAAAATTAAAACGAGACGAATCAAGAAGATGAGTCGGTTCTTATCTATCCGAGACGCGACAGGCGTAATTCCAGCACGAGGGAGAGTCACGTACAAATTTCTGTAGGAAACCAGGCCCGCATGTTTTTCATGTGCTATCTGACGCCCTAACTGCGGGGAATTTGATTTCCTAGACAGTGCTTATACAGCGACTGCTACTATGGATCGTCGCAAACAAAGAGAGATAGACCAGCCTTGATTAATATCTACAGGAAAATTTTCTTATTCGTCGATTAGATCATAGATCAGACATCGGACTTCAATTCTATTGAAGGCCACTATGCAATTTCAAACTGCTGAAATTTAAACTACTTAAATTTTTAAAAGTGTTGGAATCTCCAATGGAATGAAATTGTAGAATAATCTTCTGTTTTCTAAATTATGTTTGTGAAAAATTTGTTGAATAAGAGAAATAAAAATAAAAGAAATATAAATTGGTACAATTTTCACAAGATTCCCAGTTCTTTAAAGTTTCAGTTGATTAGAAGGAAATCATTGAAATGACCGTAATAATGTATATTATATCAAAATTGAAAAAATTATTTTAAAAATTATTCCTTTTGTTTAATTCGACATATTTAATACACTGTACAACATTAGAAACTTCATTTACCATGAAAAATGAAAAATTATTGACTTTCATCTAAGAAGAATATTTTATCTCAGATTAGTCAGTCAACAGATACGATTTAATTATCGCGTTGAAGTCGGAGCAAAAACTGGATTCTTAAGATGACTTAAGAACTTGCCTCGATTATCAGTTTTTCCTAAATCCATTCGATAAATCCCGGAGAATGTTACTTCTAAGAATAGAGGAAACGAATAAATGGAAATTGTATCTCAAGACACAGATGGCTGCGTCAAACGAACGATTGACGTACGGATCCCGGAGCCATTCAGACGCAATTTGCATTTTTCGGAACGATCAGCCCCACCGAACTGTCTACGGCCTTGATAATTCTGCACACCTCCTCTATTTTCCTGTTCTACGTAGTAGAAGTTAAGCAAGCCAGTTTTAGGTCTCTGGCACTCGGCCAAACCCGTTGAGAATAGCGAAATCTGAAGAGCATAACTTATGGATAAACATCGGCGTTTACACATGCTTCTGAACACACGGCGTCACGTTACCTTCTTTTACTCGAAAAATCAACCTTCGAGTAAGGAACCATTAGACGAGATTCGAGAATCTCAACTTAACAAATTAACTTTAGCCATCGAGAGAAGAAAAATCTTCTAAAACAGAAATATTGTTAACGAAGTTAACGTGTTAAGATTTGGAATACGATAGATACACAACTTACAAGAACATTCGAATATTTAGCACTTTTCGTGAATTTCTATGAATACAGAGAATGCACTTCTTAATGAAGTTTTTAATTTATTAATATTTGAAAAATATTTAATTTATTAATATTTTTATGAACGTAACTAGAAAAAATACTTTGGTGATTTTTTTTGTAAAATAAGCGTAATAAATTACCTTGTGACTTCTTTGTATATTCTCAAATTCGATTCAACTTCTCCGAACATATAAGCACGATAGTCGTGTCTCATTGCAAAGTTAATGAAATTTCAAAACGTTAGCATCATACATCGTCAGTAGCCGTTCAAATTCAGTAATAAATAAATCATTGTGTGTGATACTCATAATTTGTGTAATATAATTGTACGTTATTCCTTCCGAAAAATAAATATTTGCATTAATCCGCGAGAGTGTGGCGTTCATGTATGGAAGTTCGTTGAAAATTCGCTCGATTAGGTTCACATGCATACAACATACAGCAGCATTGTCGTTTATTCTACGTTCGATGGAATTTATATGAAAATGTGGCATTACTCAAAGGGTTAAGCTATTTACATCATCTCGAAAATCGCTGAACACAACAGAACGATCCGAGAAAGATACAGAGAGAGGCTGGGAATATGATCGTGCCGGAAGATGAGGGAAGATAAAAAACAACGTGGATTGCACTACGATCGGAGACTCGCCGGATTCTGGTATATGGATCTGGTTCAGCCGAATGTATCGTATCTGATCCAAGCGAATAGCGTGATTCCCACAGAGGAATTCAACGAGCGGAAATGCGTAGCTGGCCACCGTGGAAACAGTAAACCAGATGGCCTAGCCATCCTAGAAGACGAGAAGCCGAAGAAGAAAATTGAATATTCTTCTATGCTCTTCCTGTTCCTCTTGTTTCGCGCGACTCTGCGACATGCAATGGGTGCGTCTAGACGAAACAGAGTAATCAAGCTCCTCGGCTTTAACAAAGTTCAAGTCCAAACGAGCTCGGTAAATTATTCGCTGGATGTTGAACGGTCGAAAAAATTGTTCGTTTGATTTTAGAGATCAAATATCCAACGTAATAACGCGGTTATTCATGTAAATTCATGTTTTTAGAGATAATAGTCTAATCTGTCCGGATAGACGAATTTTACGTCTATATTTTACTATACCAAGCGCATTCCGTGAATTTTCGCATCTTCAAATTTCCCACAAGTGCATAAAAAAATTGCTTGGTCTAAACAGATTTCGAGGCCATGAGCGTGAACAAGTATTTCGTTCGTTTATTCCGAACGCACCATGGAAAGAAGAATACCCAAAACAACGAAGTCGGGAACAAGTTTCGTTGCAACGAACAATTCGACAAGACCCTAAGCGATTTATTATCGATGGCTTCGATTTAACTCACGTCGTGCGGCGATTTTAATGCATTTCTAATCGGCACATACGCATCTTCTGGCTTTGAATTAATCGCGAGTAATTGGTATTCGTCGATACTCTTCGAGAGCTGTATCGATTCCCTCCTCCGATAACTGGCAATGTATTTTTAATTCGATATTCTTGAATTATTAACCGTCTACAACATCACGTACGTAACATATCCAAAATTTCATTTCTATACGGTTTCATTATGCTTTGCTTCATCCACACGATGTCAACAACAAAATTAATTCATTTATAATAAGCATTGTTATAAATCAATCGAAACAAATGGCAATAATTAAGCAAACATTTTTTTCTCTGGTAGGTAGTCAAAAAATTCTGATTACAGAGAATTAAAAATAATTCATTTATAATAAGCATTGTTATAAATCAATCGAAACAAATGACAATTAAGTAAACATTTCTTCTCTGGTAGGTAGTCAAAAAATTCTGATTATGGAGGATTATAGAGAATTAAAAATAATTCATTTATAATAAGCATTGTTATAAATCAATCGAAACAAATGGCAATAATTAAGTAAACATTTCTTCTCTGGTAGGTAGTAAAAAAATTCTGATTATGGAGGATTATAAAGAATTAAAAATAATTCATTTATAATAAGCATTGTTATAAATCAATCGAAAC